TACAAGTCAGAATTCCCAAAGGGAACAGATGTTCAGAGAACCCGCAGCACCCCTGTGCACGGGTTTTTAAAATCTTTCAAAACAGGGGGTGGACGCCATATAGTAACCAATAAGCGACTCTTGGGGTGTGGTTTTGAGGGCTACAACAAATCAGAACAAGGGGAAGAGAGAGCGTTGGGATAGGGATTGGATCTTAGGGTGAGGGACAGGGAACTTTCTGGAACAAAGGGTAGGGTTTGGGCTGATGGATGGGGCAAAGGGGCCGGGTTGTCTTGACAGACAGGGAAAAATCTGGTGAGGAGGGAGGGGATTCCTTGAGAGACACTTGGGTAGGAGGGGATAACACAGGGGAGAAACTAACTCTAATAAGTCGGGGAACACTTGAACATACCACTACATAACAGAACATTTGGCTCAATAAACTAACACACTGCAACACAGAAATTCAGGCTTCCGGCAGCTGAGAGGTGGCACTATTAGAACCCGCAGCAGCTGGTGAAAGCCATCTCTGTCCTTCAGGTTCTTGCTGTGTGGGAAGGTGCTGCGAGTTGTGGTGGCTGCACTCCCCCTTTGCTGGGAGGATGATCTGTACCAGGGCAGAGCAGAAAGCTGCCATGGTGAGCAGAACATGCTCGGAGCATTACAGTTCAGAGAATGGCACTGCCCCTGAAGGGCAAACAGCTTGAAAGCATAGAATTCTGTGCGGAACCATTGCACAAATTTTCTCTTCTAGAACATGCCCATTTTTGTATACTGTAGATAAATACTCCAGGTTTTATAGAATACATGGGGGTTTTTCTTAAGGTTTTTGGGAGAACTCTCAAGTTTATTTCTGTTTGTATTTTACATCCAGCATGCATACAGGTTTTTTTTTATTATTATTATTTTTCTTTAGTAAATACTTAGGGAAAAATACCTAAGCATTTTTTAATCCTTTGGGATATTGTGACTAATATTCTTAGAAAGAAAACCTTGTTGAACAAGTGTGAAAACACAGAGAGAGGGAAAACAATATAAAAGTCTTTTAGAACAGGGTGTGTAATAAGGACTGCAGAACTGAGTAATTCCTCCAAGGGCAGAATTAGCATGATATATTACCAAGAGTAACTGCCAAGATACTTCCTTAAGCATAAGGAAATGTGACCTGCAGCCATACAAAGTACAGCCAAAGCAAATGAAAACCTTTGGAAAAGAGGGAATTTTTCCAGTGACATCAGTCTGTGATAAATAGGTACGATTTGTGCTGATAAATATTGAAACAGTAATCAATATTGATACAGTAATTAATATTTGAGAATAATAAAATAGTTTAAAGTTGTAATGCCAAAGAAGAGAGGGAGAGGAGGAGCTCCACCCACCCTTCCCAGCAGCTGTTCTCAAGGACCACAGGAAAGAAGCTGAAGATACAGTTGCTAAAAATGACCAAGAACCTGGTTGGATCCCAGAAAATGCTAATTATAAGGGATTTATTGCCTTGATATGTAGATGCAGTAATACATTGTCTTGGCTTACATTGTACTGGCTTGGTGCGCCTGTGTAACCCAAAGGTGAATTAAAGGACAACGAAGAAGACTACAGAGCCTTCATCAGTGACGACCCCCAAAGACTTGTGCGACCACCAAACCGAGTGGTGGCACATGCGTGGTAAAGGTGGTAATGAAGGCGGAGATAGAGATATGACTAACTGAAAATGGGAGGAGATGGAATTGACACATAGCATATAAGGGGTGATTTTCACTTGGCAAGCTTGTACGTGAAGTGGCAAGGGTCATTGAACCCCGCACTCCGTACCCCCCGCGGTTGTTTTTGCTTATGTGCTATTATTTGAACCAAATTATCCCTTATTTAAATCAAATTATATTGTATCCAATTTTATATTTTTTTATTTTAACTATTCAAATGAAATTGCGACTACTTTTAATATTGTTTGGGGTTTTTTTATGATGGGATAATTGGGCAAACATAACAGCTTCACAGTTACAGCTGTACATATGTTCTGATCTTTAGATACAGTTTTGAATTAACGTGTTTTGATTCTGTCTTTAAGTTTTGATGACATATTTTTAATTCTATTTTTTTTTGATGAAGAAAAAAAGTAAATAAATAAACAAAATTGAAAAAAAACAAAAGGAGAATGTGAGACCAGGACCTGCTAGTCTAGAGATTATGGGATTGCAGCTCACTCGATGTGCCAGCGTCTCACCACATCCTTTCCGCATTGGGCCTCTCCTCCTCCTCTTTGGCCATGTTTTCTTTGTGTCATTTGTGCTGCTCTTTGTTACTTGGCATTACAACAGAGTCACCTGTTGACCTGTTTGAGGGACAATGGATCCAAAAGATCCTGTCTAGTCAAAGGTGTGTTCTGTGCTCACCAAAGGCCTGAGCAAAGAAACCAAGAGAAGTGTGCCCAAATCCCAAAGCTTTGCTCCTTTGCAATCTCCCACAGATCTGGCTCACAGGTGTCTTCAATCACAATTCCACAGGTAAGAAGAGGTAATGTATTTCACTGGGAAAAGATGCACTGCTTTGGCAAAATCACCTGTATGTATATTTACTGGGGACAGCAGTGCAGCTGTGTTGTTTGCACCTTGTTTGCAGAAGGATGAGTGCACTGGGAGGCCAATAACAAGTGACAAGGGTTCCTCCAATCTGCACTGCAGCCTGGGTGCCATTCAGCCCAGAACTAGGGGATCATTTGTTCCCATGGACCAGTGCTTGCCAGTGGAATGAATTCCTGCACAGCTGGAAGAAGCAATTCTGGATTCAGCTCCAGCTCTTGGTGGGCTGCATGATCATTGACAGTGCTGCCCTTCCAGAAATTATTCTGCAGTTTCCTTTCATAGTCATTTGAAACTTTGAAACTTCACATTTTAATTTGCTTTGCTTTAGGGTAAAACACTTCTGGGCCCAGTGCAAGCTGTAACCTTCTGACAGCAAAGTCCTCATGATTGCCAGCTTCTGATGTTACACAATGTCACCTGGCTGCCTGTATTTGCTTTGCTCTGGGTCTAGTCCCGGCCTAGTAAAGCCCAGGTAGGGTGGCACGTTGCAGGGAAAACTGGTCCATGAGCTTATGGTGTTGCCATCAGCAGCAGAGTGAATGTGCCCTTTGGGGATTCGTCTGAAGACAAAATTAGGGACCTGCTCCATGCCACAATATTCTCTTAGATCTTTCTGAAATATCCTAGAAAAGGCTGTGAAACTTCACATCTCCTTGCACAGCCACTGTTTGAAGAGGGGCATTTTTGTCCCTCCTCAAAGTCATTGCTCTTGCACACCAGAAACATGAACATCCGCCAACAGGAATGATGCATGGTCCTGCTGCTGCTGCTGCAGAGCACTGGGCAGTGCAGACCTGGGTATTACCAACATGAGCACTTAATTAGCATTTCATGCTCCTTCAAGCTGTCCAGATCCCAGGGCTTTTTGTTTCAAAGCAGCCATGCACCATCTCTAGGGAAGAACAGGAAATGGGAAACAGCGACTGCCAGCCTTGCAGGGGTATGGGGGAAAACCTGAGGTGTCTGCATCAAAAGATGAATGGGAAGAGTGTAATTGCCAAAGCAAACGCTTCATTAGGATAGCTGGAGCAGTTCTTTACTGCATGCTTGCATTGAGATCATTTGGGATCTCCTTTTTGTGTCTCATGCAGAAAAGGAGCTCTTAATAATACCACACTACTTAAACCAGATTAGCATGTATCTCTGTAGTGGTTCACAATGAAGCAGACTGCCTGCTGTGCCACTGCCAGGCCTGGTTTAGACCTGCTCTGGACTGAAAATCCAGACAAACACCATCAGCACACACCTGTGGCCCACCGAGCTCTGGGACGCTGCATTCCAGCACCAGAGGGACTCAGGAGAGACCAAGTGAATCAACTACAACCCACAAAAAGGACTTTCTGAATTTGCCATCTCTTCAGCACTGTCAGAGGTTTTATTTAATATTATTCATTTTACATGCTTGTGAATACTTTACTTGTTTAATAAACTGTTTTTTTTTTTTACTTTTCTCGAGGGAAGTCTTTTCCTGAACTAGTAGGGGTAGGGGCTGCTTGAACTTCCTTTCTAGATGGATTCCTTTTGGAGATTTCCTCCCAAAATTTGCCCTAAACCAGCACAAACTGTCACAATGAAAATTGCACCAGTGGCACAATTTTTCCTGGTGGCAAATCTTGTGACAGAAGCTTGACCTTATTCTCCATGAGAGATTTTTGGGAAGAGCAGACAGGAGAATATTTCTGGAAAACTGAAACAGTTTTCCAGAAGTGAAATGAAAATGAAAGAAACAATCCAAGATGTTTTCCTCTATTTATTTCTATGCTCCCCTTTTCCATGTTGCATCCCAGTAATTCCAGATGCACCTCACCTCTAAGATCAGTGACTTAGGGATTTTTAGGTGCTCTAAAATACCACAAGCCACACACACTCATTCTCATTCTCATTCTCATTCTCATTCTCATTCTCATTCTCATTCTCACTCTCACTCTCACTCTCACTCTCACTCTTCTCTCTCCCTTTCCCGCTGTCGGGCACCCTTCTCTCGGTGTCCGTTTCCCAGCGTCCCTCTCCTCTCCCCTGCCGGGCTGGGCCATGCCCCCGGCCCGCCCCCGGCCCTGGGCGGGGCTGCCCCGTCGCGGTCTCGCCTCCGCTCGGCTCTGGCCGTACTGGCGGTGGCGCTGCTGGGCGGGCATCAGTGCCTGGTGCGGGGGCGGCATCGCCGCCCTTCGGCTCCGCCTGGCCCGAGCCCGGCCCCGGACCCGACGCAGGCTCCACTCCCGACTGCGGCCCCGGCTCCTCCCAGGGCCCGCGGAGGACACACGCGGCGCGGCCGCTCCCGCCGCCTCCGCTGCGGCTTCCCCGGCCCGAGCTCCGCCGCTCGGCAGCGCGGCCTCCAGCCCCAAGCCGCCGGGGCCCGGGGCGGGTGGGGATGCCGGCCCCGGGGCGGGTGAGGGGCGCTCGGGGGCCGTTGCTGGCCCCGAGCCGAGCGCTGACAGCCGCGTCTCGCCCGCAGGTGAGGCGCACGAGGCCCTGCAGGAGCGGCACCGGCTGGGATCGCTGCTGGGGCGCGGCGGCTTCGGCAGCGTCTTCGCGGCCACGCGGCTCTCGGACGGCGCCCCGGTGAGCGGCGGGGCCGGCGGCGGGCGCGGGAGGAGGGGGCGGAGGAGGAGGGAGGAGGAGGAGAAGGTCGGGGCGCGGCGGGACGGGTGGCGAGCTCAGCCCGCTGCTCTCCGTCGCTCGCAGGTGGCCATCAAACGCATGCCGCGGGATCGCATCCGGCACTGGGGCGAGCTGGTGAGTGAGAGGTGTTATGAACAAAAATTCAGTTGATTTTTTTCTGTGAGAAAAAGGTTACCACTACTGCTGGGCTGCTGCCTGTGTTATGGTAATTACGGGTTGTTGTGGTTAATAGTTGTCTTTGTATCGGTAAAAGCCCTGGCTGGGGTGAGTTAATAGCTCTTCTCTCAGCAGTAAAGGGTGCAGTACCTCCCGAACAGTGAGGAGAAAAGACTTTGGAGGGGAGGGGTATGCAAAATAATTCTAAGGACCAGCATGCTGTGTGGGACCCCTACTCCAAACGTGCAGGAAGAACCCCAAAAACAACGAGCCACCTAAGAGTTGAGAGACTGGAGTGATGTCTGGACGTGGGGAGCCGAGTGCTGAGCCTGCAGAGATGTGGAACACCTTCGGAGTCCCTCTCGCCCTGACCTTTGGAGTCGTCCCCGGCATGGAGACTGAGCGGACGGGGCCGGGAAAAGTAACAACGAGGGGATCATCACGCCCTAAACGCTCCCACGAGGACCTTATCCCCAGCTCTACTCCTAGTGGACAAAGCAGCGCATATCCTCCTCTTGTGGGTCACCCTGGGAGAGAGAACGGGAGACTGCAGCCCCACCGAGCTGCCCAATCCTGAGCTGATCACTTTTAATGAAGGTATTAAGAAGGAGAAGAAGTCTCCTGGCCTTGTTTATTTCAAGAGGGGCCAGCAGCAACAGCCGGGCTGTGCCAGGCGGCGAGGAGCCGGGGCCCGGCAGGGTGGGAGCCGCCGTGAGCCCTGCGGGGAGAGCGGGCGTGGGCTGAGCGGGGCGTGCAGAGCATCCCGGGCTGGCTGAGGGCTCGCAGAGCCCCGGCACGGCCTCAGCCCCACTGACGGCACCGCGCTCCTCCCGCAGCCCGACGGCACCAGAGCCCCGCTGGAGATCGTGCTGCTGGCCAAGGTGTCCCGTGGCTGTGGCGGTGTCATTCAGCTCCTGGAGTGGCTTGAGCTCCCCGACAGCTTCCTGCTGGTGCTGGAGCGTCCGGAGCGGTGCCAGGAGCTCCCGGGTTTCCTGGCGGAGCGGGGGTTCCTGCCAGAGGAGGAGGCGCGGGGGCTGTTCCGCCAGGTGCTGGAGGCCGTGCGGCACTGCACCAGCTGCGGGGTCCTGCACCGGGACATCAAGCCCGAGAACATTCTGCTCGACCTGGCCAGTGGGCAGCTGAAACTGATCGACTTTGGCTGTGGCGCCTTCCTCCAAGACACAGCCTACACCCAGTTTACAGGTGAGCCCTCGCAGGGGATGCTCCTGGGCATCTCGTGGCCCAGCCTGGGTGCAGCACTGGGGCTTCCCCCTATTGCAGCCGGGACGGGATTGATGCTGGAGCCGAGTTGTTCTGGGTGGGGTGTGAGGGCGGCCAGCTCCCAGCCCTGCTGACAGCCTTCAGCAGCCACTGTGGCCTGGGCTGGGGCTGGAGCTGGGGCAGCCAGCCCGACACAAACCCCCATGGGGGTAGCAGAGATGGGAGTCTGACCGCATGCCCCGGATGGTTTGGTGTGCAGGCGAGGAAGGGCTGGACTGCTCCGCTCTCCTTGTTTGCCTTGGCTTATTAACATTTTTGGGGGCCATGGAGGTGGGGAGGAGAGTGGGTTTTCTCCACTACTGGGTGGGTTTTTCCTCTGTGTGTCATGGTTGGGCCTTCCTAGAGTCTCTTCTGCCCTCTTCCAGGACCAGTGGCTTCTTTTCCAGCCCCGAGTTTGTGCACAAGTCCCAGGTGGTGGCGAGAGGGCAGCGCTCACCCCATGTGCCTCTGGGGCAGCCCCCACATGCCCAGGGATGCTGGGGCCAGGCTCTGGGAGCAGCAGCATCCCCCTGCTGATCTCTGTCTGTGTTCCACAGGAACCCTGTCCTACAGCCCACCAGAGTGGATCCAGCACCAACGCCACCACGGCGAGGCAGCCACGATCTGGTCCCTGGGCCTCCTGCTGTGTCATCTGGTCATGGGGAAGCACCCAGTGATTTTAGTGCACTGCAGGCTTGTGAGCGTTTCTCTTAGGACTTTATTTTCATTCCAAGGGATTCCTAGTTGGGTGAGCAGCACTCAGCTGGGAGGAAATGAACTCAGGTTAACAAACCTGTTCCCCTGCACACAGACTATCAGAATAACCTGAAAGTGCTCTACAGTCAGAAAATGGCACCTGGATTCAGCAGGAAGAATAGCAGATATATTCCCTCAAAGCCAGAACGGGTCTTGGATGCACCAGAGATGTTCAACGACTACTGTAAGTAGGCTGCAGGGTTGAGTGCTGGGCATCCAGAACATTCTGCATTGGATTGCTGTTCCTAGGACAGTGTGACTGGGCTGTCTGTATTATTTTGTGTACTCAGGCTAGCACAGACCACTTCTGGAGTGTCCCTGTGTGGCCTTACAGGCACAGTGGTCTAGGGCACTGTGTTGGTGCCTTGGAGCAGGGTACCTGGCCCCAGCAGCTGGGCACAGTGACACTCAGAAGGCTGCCCCTCACCTGTATGTGTGTGTGTGCACATGTGCACCCGCACCTGCTGCATCAGCACAGGTGAAGGGCAGGGCTCTCTAGCCAAGCATGGTGTGACCTGCATTGCTCTTTCAAATTGTAGATCTGAATCTCGTAGACTGGAGCTCCCAGAACTTCCTGGCAGTGGCTCTGGACGACACTGTTTATCTGTGGAATCACGCTACTAGGGAGATTATCCCCCTGCTGCAGATGGAGCATCCAGATGTTTACATTTCCTCTGCGTCATTGATTAAAGATGGAGACTACCTTGCTGTTGGCACAAGTAGTTCAGGTGAATGCAGGACTAAAACTAGAGGTGTTTTCTAGGGATTGACAGAACTGTGGGGCCTGGGGACAAAACCTTGGCTGGCAGAGGAAGGATGCCATGCACCTGACTTGTCTTCCCTGGTGTGGGGTGGAACTGCCCAGTGTGCAAGGCAGGGTTTGGTTTGGGGGTTTTCTGATAAGCAGCATTACCTTCTGTGCTATAGTCATGAGATACACATTTTCTCTGTTCCCTTACTGAGAAAGCTGAATGCCAGAGCCTGTGCAGTGAGGTTCCTAGGGCATAGAAAGAGGATTGGGTTTCTTCTGAAGAACTTTTTGCTTTGCCTCTCCAGCTATTGTTGCATTTATGTTGTTGTATATCATATTTCTAGGGTCTCATACCTGCTGGGTGGTTTTCTCACAGCAGCTCTTCACAGCACTGGCGCTGTTGCTTCTCAGTCAGGACTCCTCTCCAGCTCTTCCTGAATGCCCCACCCCCTTTTATCCCAGCTACCTCCACGGGCTACAGCTGCTGCCCAATCAAGGACATTGCAGCTGCAGCCCAGTTACAATACCTAGAATCAGGGCAGGGTCATTTATACAATACAGAGATCTTTTACTGCAATACATATATTTACTAAGGCCCCTATAAGCTATGGGACATTGAGCAGCAGAAACGTCTCCAAACCATGACCAGCCATTGTGGCTGTGTGGGAACCCTCAGCTGGAACAGCTACATCCTCTCCAGGTAAAGCAGTGGGTCAAGGGCAGTTTCCAGTTGTTGCAAACTCCTATCCCTCAATCTACGTGTGGCATGGGTTAGGGATGGCAGAGAGAAATTTGTCTTGGCTTGGGAATCTTACTCAGCCTTATCTGTTGGGGCTGTGAGGAGAAGGCCTCTTTCCTGTATTGCAATTTGTGCTGAAGCTGTAAAGAGCTTGTGTGGGTGTTTCACTCACACCAACAGACCTGTGTTGCTGGTAACACTGGTTGAAACCCAGTGGCAGGTATAGCAGTCTTGCAACAACAAAAATGGATTTGGGTGAAAATGTGCAGCCTGACCCTTCAAGCCTTCTCTTCTCTCTGCAGTGATGCACAGACTGGGCACATCCATCACCACGATGTCCAAGTGGCTGAGCATCACGTGGCCACTCTTGCTGGCCACACACACAAGGTGTGCGGACTCAAATGGTCTCTGGATGGCCGCTACCTGGCCAGTGGTGGCATTGACAGTCTGGCGAACGTCTGGCCATGCACCCAATGTGGGGATGGAGACTTTGCTCCTCTACAGACCTTCACTCAGCACCAGGGTGCTGTCAAGGTGAGCACAGAGCTGCCACGGGCAGGTATGTGTGTGCAAGGCAGGCATGCAGCACTGGCTGGGTGCAGGTTGCCTCTTGTATGTTTTAAAATGAACTCTCCTCTCTCAGGCCTGGCGTGGTGCCCATGGCAGATGAATGTTCTAGCCACTGGAGGTGGCACTAATGACAGACATATCCGCATCTGGAACGTGTGTTCTGGCGCCTGCCTCAGTGCTGTTGATACCCGTTCCCAGGTGAGAGATGAACATCAGCTTGGAGACAAACACCTTCTGGCAGCACACCTACACAGAGCTGCTGGCTCCACAGGCCCAGAGGCACGGGGAAGGAGGGGGACCATGCTCGCGTCCGAGTGGTGAGCATCAGCACATGCACCTTGTCTCACCTGTGTTACTGCCTCTTTGCAGGTGACTTCTATCCTATGGTCCACAACCTACAAGGAGCTCATTTCAGGCCATGGCTTTGCACAGAATCAGTTGATTATATGGAAGTATCCAAGAATGAACAAGGTTGCAGAGCTGCCAGGTAGGTGGACAGGGCCTGGGGGGGGGGGAGGGTGCTGTTAGAGGTTGAAGACAGCTGCACTCCTTGGTTTGAGCCTGCAGCATCACTGATACAGGACAGTATCCGGGGCCATGCTGTTAGGAGTAAAGCATGCCCAGGGGGCTGTGGAAGAGATACCATTGATCCAAGCGTATGCTTGGGGTCTGAAATCACACTGCCACAGCCACTGGGGAGACAGCTATGCAAGCTGGCAGGGCTCATGGGAGCATACAGGAGTAAATGTGCATGTGCTGATCAGCTCAGCCCTGATTGCACATTCCTTCTCCTCCTCAGCTCATACTGATAGAATCTTGAACCTGACCATGAGCCCTGATGGTACAGCAGTGGCCTCAGCAGCTGCTGATTAAACAGTGCAGGTCTGGAGCTGTTTTGAGCTGGATCCCATAAAGAAGAAGGAGAAAGAGAAGGCAAACAGTGCCAAAAGCAGTATTCCTCACCAGAGAATCCACTGAGAGCACGGGATTGTTGTGGGGAGGGGGATATTTGGTTTTACACGCTGTACAGTATTTTAAATGTTAATGAACTGCTTAACTTGACTTTTTCTTAATGGAGTCTGATGGAAGAAAAAGCCATGGCTCTTAAACCCAAGTCCTTCTCCCTGAGGCTGGGGATCTGGGCAAGGAGTGGAGACCTAGGTCTTAAGGGCAAGTTTGCAGGCCCCTGAGCTTAGCACAGCCTAGCAGAAGGATGCTGTGCAAGGGCTGTACTTCTGTTTCTGTCCCAACTAAGATAGATATGTCACCTGCCCCATCTAGATGCTGACTACAAGCACAGCAGCTCCACCACAGGCTCAACTGAAAGCACAGCATGGCTGTGGCCTCAGTTTGTGTTGTCCTGGCATTTCTCACAAGCCCAGGGACACCTTCCTATGGCTCTGCAGGCAGATCTCAGTTTGTCTTGTTAGCTACAGGCAGCCATCACTGCCTGCCTATGGTGCTGGAGTAGAATAGCTGTTGGAAAAAAAAGGAGGGAGAGAAATATAGAGCAACAGCTGTAATCACCCCAAAGGCTGGAAAGGGGCTGGCTCTGGCATAAAGCCTGATGCAAAACAAAAGGTTGGCTTACACTGCCACGCCCAGCCTGGATGTCATGCAAGAGCCATGCAAAGCACCAGCAACCCTGTGCTCAGCCTTCAGTCACGTATTCTTCCAACAACTCTGATCTCCCTTCCCCTCCTGCTGAAAGGAGGCCCTAGTGCCTCACCGAGGCTTCATGCAGGGGAGCAGGCACCGGGGCTCAGCTGACATTTATTGGAGCTTGACTCCCCTACACTTGGAAAAATGCCTTTTTTCCAGGCTGAACTGTGCTGGAGCAAGTTGCAGGAAATATATTTGAGCCCTCACCTGACCAACAACCAGCTGAGCCATGCTGCTTTGCACGGTGGAGCCGCAGTGTCTGAGGTTGTGGGGCTGCACCAGACCCATCACGCCTGTCCTTCAGCTGCACCAGCAGGGCCAGGGGCTGCTGGGGACGCTGCACAGCTGATAAGCACCTTGGCCTGTACAAAGCAGCTCCACCAAGCCTGTGCCTCCCATCAGCCCTCAGTGATTAGCTGAGGGTGGATTATTAACTGTTTTCACCTTTC